AACCCGAGAGGGAGCCCAGCCCAGTCACCTGTGGACAGTGTGATCCCCATACTCTCACTTGGGGCCTCGGTTTCCCCAACAGTGCAATCATGGCAGTGATTGATACCTTGGAATTGTAGGAAGTATTCATGGAAATGGCAGCATTTCATCATTATCCCGCCCAGCTCTGTTCCGGCCGCACCCCTCCTCCCCATCATGCACGCCCTCCCTACAGACTCTCAATATGAACCAGAAGATGCGCCCCACTGGGCCATCCTCCCACAGCTGTCAGAAGGCACCCCTCATTAGCCTCAAGCCTCGCAAGTGTAAATGGGAAGACAGGAACCAAGTAATCAAGGCTCCTCCTGGCGAGCACTGTCCTGTTACCGCCTCCATCATTGTATTGATGGTGCACGTGACACTCAGACCAATGGATCATTCAGGAACTAGTTCTTTAACTTCTGCATTATCCAGGCCCCTCCATCCGCCCCTCCACAGCTTCCCTGATCACTGGAACTTCTGCCAGGGAACAGAGGAAGGAAGGGAGAGGTGGGAATGCACATGGAACGAAGCCGTGTTCCTGGCTGGCAGCTCTTCCCAGGGCCCAATGGCAGAGGCGGTGTTAATAAGCGACGAGGAGCAGGCTGGGGAACTTTGTTTATTCAAGCTCTCTTTCCCTCATCAGCATGCCTAACTGAGAGTTGGCTGTGAATGAGGAAAATGGGTATTTAAAAGTGACCAATATACAACACAGGTCTCTGATCCCTGCCTGGCGACTGGCTTACAGTAAATACCAAACTTAGCTATTGTATTGCCACCTGGTGAAACTATACCATCGTCCCAGATTACGTGTTTATCTACATCAAACTAGGGTTAAGCCGGCAAATGTGATATCCAGGAACAGATGGCCGTTATATCAAAATACATTTACTCCACGGGACCAATGCACAGAGGGGCTCACACACACCTAAGTGAGACGTGCAGCTTCCATTCGTTGTAGAATCTCGAAAAACATACTTTCTTCCAAATTTATAATTGATCCCTTGTAAAGGTAACTTCACCTCTGCTACAGAGAGCCAGTGGTTTTGATGAAAGATAGAATATACTGGGAGATAAAAAATGCAGAGGAAGCAGATATAGGTACAGAGCTCACTTCCTCCCACATGAAAATACAAGCAGGATTTATGTTAATTTACGAACATAGGGTCTGATGTTTTGCAGGAAGGCTGACACTCTGCCAAGCAAAGGTGAAAGGTCACTTCTGCTCGGATGTGATAGGAGCAAAAATTTTTCTATCATTTTGGTAAATTTTACTTGCCTGGCACCAATCGCTAATGTACTGGTTTGCTAAACCATCTGATTTATAACAGAATTATTTCTTAAAACCCAACTGAAGCCATTTTTAAGAACTGCAGAGCCTCTAAACAGAATGGCCTATGGTTTTTACCCAATTCTAACTTTAATTAGGAATCCACAGGTAACTTCCTTAAAATAAATATAACTTCTTCTTTTCCTCACTTCCCAGGAATTCAATTTCAAGTTAAGTGATAAATAAGGGGGCTCGTTTCGAGGCCCCTCCCCCTCGTCCAATGAGGATATTGGGTATTAACCTCACGTCTAGAGTTAGCTGCATATTAAGACACTGTAACTGAACAAGTGGGATGGCACAGATTAGAGCTTAGGTTAAAAAGACTGAAAACTTTCTTTGATTTTCAGTGATGTCAGGAAGTAAAAGAAGAGGAGAAACGTACTAAGAATCTTGGAAAATTAAAAGAGAAGTTAAAATGAAGGGCGAAGAGCAGAAAGGAAATAACTCTTGAAGGAACCTAGGAAAACTTGCAGCTATTTCACTACCCCTGGGCTGTGTTTACTCTACATGACAGTGTTCTCTGGTTCCACAAATTAAAAAGCTAGCCACCCCAAAGACACGCATGCCCAATGCCAAGCTCGGGGGAAATCGCATGTTTTCAGCTATTACCCCTACATTGGAGGGATAAATACCACGCTAGGATGTCTGAGGGGTCTGGTTTACAAACCTAATATTAGCAAATTAGGCCCCAAACACCAGGTTCCAACTCAGTATTATCTACCACCTGAAACCAGAAAAGACTGTTTATGAAAAAGGGTAAGATTCACCCTAATGGATGACATTTAGACATCCAGAGAGGATACTTGTGCATGAAATATCTCTTCAAACGGTGGAAACAAATATAAAGAAACATAACTCAGAATAAGTACGTCTTCATTCTCTGACTCTGCTCCATACCCGTGAGCCACCACGAAGAACCAGGAGAGAACGTCTCCCAGTGCAGCAACTTTCTCCACGGCACCTGACGTACACTGCAATTCCTCAACACCAAGTCCACCGTCAAAAGTGAGCTCCTGCAGGTCTTCACCACGGGCCTCAGAACAGGAAAGTGAGAGATGAGACGAGAAAGGGATTCTTACAGTCTCGGAACCCCACTCAGGGTTTACGTCTCAGGAATGTGTCACCATTTTCAAACCCAGTACCTTGTTCTCATAAATGCACAGGATTCAGGAAGACAAATGGGAACGTTAGCTCTTTGGGCCACGGGCGTTTGTATGTAAGCAAGCATGGGGACACACACAGACCCGCCAGCCTGGACGAGAGACCAACTGTTAACACAAAGTGAGAAGAATATTTATCTTTAAATATGCTACAGTCAGATATAGATTATACACCAGTGTGATCCAGCGCGAGCTAAAACGTCGAACAGAATTATTTCTATCCTTGCTTGGAAACTTACTACAGGGTCTCACAACACCCGCCATTCTGAAATCCCCTTAATAACAACAACGGAACCCGAATCAAAGTTCCATCACACTGTCATGACAGAAAATAGCATTCCCTTATCATAATAATTAGGTTTATTTTTACTATTATCAGTGAATTCACATAATTGCTTTCCCAGATGCTTTTCTAAAAATTTTACCTAGGCAGAGAGAGAGGGGATGGGAGGGAGAGCCATAAAAACTCACGAGTTTCGATAGAGCAATTATTTGTCATGATCTTTTGTTTTCATTATAAGCTACAATTTTCTAAAAATCTTTAGTTCATATAGATACAAATGTACTGGAATATATTATAGTATTTCTAGAAATTTTTATTTCTAGTGATGAAACCATGAGAACAATATACTTCACAAGATGAATGAATACAATTTTTTAGCCAAAAAGATTCTTATGAGAGAGGCCACTGAATCACAGAAATAAAGTCAATTCAACGTGGCTGCATTTTCTCTGCTAAAACCCTCATCCTCGGTGCCATCAGCTCTGCTCTGCCATCACCCGCCCCCACCCCACAGAAATCTGATGAATGAGTAAGCTTGGAAACTAACTGCAGTATAAAATTCTCCTTTTACAATTACTTATAGAAATAAATGACATTTCTCCCCATCAAATAAAACAAAGACTCGAAATCATCATTTCTGCTATTTCTTCTTGTGTCAAAACAGCTTTGCCATCACTCCCCCCCGCCCTTCTGGAGCCTAGCATACTGTGCAGGGTGTGACACTGTGAGCACACACAGTGCGTCCTGCCCTCAGTGGAAGCACACGTCTAGCAGCCATGCAGACTGAGAGGAGTCCATCTGAGCAAGCACACACGAGCACCTGCAAGGCAGGAGAACAGACTGCCAGCCTTCACGCGCACGTGTGGGTGTGTGTTCAAATGTGTGGGTGTGTGCGTGTGTGTATGTGGCTGGGTGTGTTTGAGTGCATACGTGGATTTGTGTGTGTGTGCACACGTGGGAGTGAGTGCATGTATGCATGAATGTATGTATGCATGCATGTGAGTGCAGGCATGTGTGTGCATGTGAGTGAACACAAAATAAAAACTACATAGACTCTATCATTTTCTAAATGGAAATGAGACAACTGGATCTTATGGTTAGACTTTGATTTTTTTTGTAATTAAATCTTGTTAATATTTTTTGTCATAAAATGTGCCTTCTGGATGCCAATGTGTCCCTAAAGATGTGCTGTCATCTTGAGCAACATGGAATTCTGTGCATTCTAATGCAAGTGGACATAAGGCAGCATATACGGTCCCTGTTAGACTTTACTCTGACACCAACAGTGTGTGCCCTGATGGTTTGCAACATAAATACACACATATTGTCTGAAAAAATATTTTCATCTCAAATTGTAATTATACAATGAGGTACAAACATCTTATCTTCGACAAATTAGATAAAAATTCTATTTCTCAAATCGCAGCCCAACATTTTTAAAAACATCTTTGTTTCTTTAAAGAAAACCAGATTTGTTCTATTCAACAGTCATTTTAGGAATGGCAAGAAATGACAGCTGTATCTGTTTTTTAATGGCTCCGTGTAGCAAAGTTCCAAATCCCCTCAAGTCTTCATCACGCCGGCTCCGAGCAATTAGCTTCGTACACCCCCCCGACCCTGCACCTCCCTCTGCACCCCAGTTATGCACAGCAGGAGGATGTTTTCCTGAACGGTCCTCTTCTCCACTCCCTAGGAGGCAAAGGCTCCAGAACTCTGCCTCCTCACATCATTGTTCTTCTGATAGATGAAGATAAGTGTGGGTGCCTCACTGCAAGAGCTGAAGCAACGATGGAAGACAGGATCTGCCCTGAACGTGATTTGCTCTCTCAAAGTCACCTCTCACTCTATCTTCAAAACCCAACAGCCACCAACTGGCTACTCAAAATACCCCTTCACATGATGTGTCAGGCACACATCCTACCTGCTCCTACTTGATGACAAATACCCTGACTAAAAGGGAAAGAAGTATTCCTTCGATAAAAGATGCTCAGCTTTTGCCATGCCCCCAAATTTAGATACCTAGAATCCTTAAGATGTTGGCATTTGATATAACAGGCTAGCCGATTAAATGTTTTCATTCTTAACTCACTTGGATTTTAAGTAATAACTAGGCAGGAGAAAAGTAGTGGTAATGGAAAATGCAATGCATGAATACAGCATTTTAGCATGAAAATATGCTGAAAATGTTGAATAACGCACGTTAACATACTTGAATTTACATCGACGTTACAGGACACTTGGCATGACTGAGCATTCCTCTTGCGAGAAGACCTGGCATTTCCCCTGGAAGTGGAGTAACATGTACAGGGTGTACAGTGAAAAGGAATTGAGCTCCAATCTTTAAAACATGCTAAATAGCACCAGTGGTTCAAATCAAATGGCTCTTCTTCACACGGGCCCCTAAGGAAGTAAAGAGACTTTTTAGGCAAAGAGAAGGCCATTCTGAAAGTGGATGATTTATAATTACAGGAAAGCGAAGAATGCCAAGCTCTCCTCCCTCCCCCCACGTTTTCTGGACAGGGTGCTAAGCGACATCATAAGACCACCCCTGGGTTTACCAGCTGAAGATAACCCTTGCAGGCAGCCCATTCGAGAGGAGAAAAAACCCTGGCCCTCCACATCCCTCTCCCTCTGCCCCTCCCTCAGAATGAAAAGAGCGTGTTATTAGCAGAGGTCTGCGACGGAGGCCACCGCGCCCCGCATGCGGAGCAGGTCTGCAGGATTCTAATCTCAGAGATTTACTTGCTCTTCCTCTTGCATCTGATAAACTATACATTCAAGCCTTCTCATTAGGGCTCCCATCACCAACGGGAGTGGAGATGAATCAGTCCAGGCCCCCGCCCCGCTCTGTCGAGATGATTTCATTGAAATGTTCATTTTCATCCCTGCTGGCAACATTAGAATGGAAGTATTTAACCTGTTTCCATTACTTATACAAATTACCATTATGGGGTAGGACAGATGTTAGAATCACGCCACATAACTGACTTCCATATATTCTTTACAGGAAGCGTGAGGAGGAATGCTGCTACATCATATCATCCAGGCTCAATAATGTTCTCTCTGTTTCCAGATTCATTAACTTCGCACATCAGCACTTCACTTGCTTTCTTCATGAAAATTCCCAGGCTAGTTGGACTCATTTAATTTGGAGAAGGAAACCTTTGTCAGTGGTAACGTTTTGATCAGGTGCACTAAGAGAGTGGGGAGGGGGCGAGGGAGCAGGCGGAGGGAGGGGCCAGAAACAAGAACGGGGGAGGAGGAAACAACCCTGTCGAAAATGTTACCTTTCCAACACAAATGATGAAAGAGAAGTCAGTTAAAGATGCTGGTACTCAAAGATGGCTGTCACTTCAGATAGACACTGGCACAACTCACCTAGACAGGTGACACTTTGGTGGAGCAAAATCCTGCTGCATTATTGAGCACTCGGGAGATGGGGCTCAGGTAGGCTGCGGGCCCAGGATGCCTGGGGGCACCCGGGGAAGTGAATTCAGCAGGTGAGTGGATCTCACTCTTCATTTGTATCCTCAAGTGAAGCTGGAGATACAGTCTCCTGGCTCAAAATATGGAAGAGGGGCTGGAGTCACAGGGCCAGTTTGAGCCCTGACATTCTTTCATTAATTTTCCCTGAGATCTGAAGCAGAGGCTGGAAGGATGCTCCACATAATTAGGGGGCACTCAGAGCCCTTAAACAAGACATTGCTTCCCTTTTTAGAAATTTCACATAAACAACAATTCCCAGTTAGTCTAAGAACAATTCCTCTTTTGAGTTCTCCTGCAAGGAGGCGTGTGGCGCCCTGAGTCTGATCCTGAGACCACACTTCCAGAAGCTCTGACTGCAGGTGGGATTCTGGGAGAACATACGAGGTTCGACCATTTCTAGGAAAAGGTCTTAAAATCAAAGATTCGTGCATGGAGTGTAAGAAAAGAAACAAATCCTATTCCAAACGCTCCCACAGGAAAACCTTCCTCACTAAGACCAGCAAAGGGAAACTCAGACCCTCGACTCCCAACGTCTCCCAGAGTCGCCGGGTCTCTCTCCTCCGCCTGCCTCCGCTGGTTCATGAAACTGCTTGGAAAGAAACGCTGGGTGTGTTTAAATTAATGAGATAAAAAAAAGGGGAAAGAAAATATTCAGAGGGACAAAGAAAGCATGTACTAAAAAACACCTAACTGCCCTACGGGAGTGGGTTCCTAAGTGGAAATCGGCAGAGCCGATACCTGCAATGGTGGCCTGAAAGGAAAGACGCACAGGTGAATACATTCTCTGCAGAAAGGGAAGGAGCCCACTAGCATCAGCAGAAGCATTTTTTCCGTGGCAGCACTGAAGTCCAATCCCAAATAGGAATAAAATATATTCTGGGATAATGACCCACCTAGAGAGAATGACTTTTCTCAGCACACTAGAAATTTATCTGGGAATACTTATAATATACTATTATTTTGAAAGAAATCGTTTCCTTGTTCTTGGGTAAACATTTCATACCCATGGAATATCTGCTCCACCAGCACGAGGCTTTGGATTAAAGTGTCACCGAATAATAATAGGTAATATTTATCCAGCCCTCACGTTCCGCCAGCCACTATCTTAAGTGCTCCGCATTTAACTGTGTTAGCCTCTCGCCAAGCCCATAAGGGGAAAGCCTGTGATTACCTTCCACCTCCACATGAGGAAACTGAGGCACAGAGGCTCCCTGAGCTGCCCCGGCCGCACCACAGATGAAATCTGTTTCAGAGTCGGGTTCCTGACGTGCACCTGCACTGCCACACAGGGGCCACGTCTCAGTGACGTGAGTGGCGTGGGTTCAAGATGAATTCTGTCTTTAGAATACCCTGTTTGTAAAATCAGGTCTTCATCTACAGGAAGGCCAGCAAAAGTGGTCATGGGCAGTTCCACCCAAAAGTTGCGGTCAGATGTATCAGCCGTGACAGGTGCCACAGGACAGCATGTCCACGTAGGGGATGGCGGCAAAGCCCTGCTGGAACCTGCTTCCAGCCATGCTAACCCAGGCTCATCACAGAGACAGGAAGTAGAAGGGTGTGACCGGGGGCTGGGGGAGAGAGCGGGAAGTTGCTGTTAATGGGGACAGAGTTTCAGTTTGGGAAGACGGAAAGTTCTGGAGATGGATGGTGCTGATGGTTGCACAATAATGTGAATGTGATTCATGCCACTGAACACTGAACTGTACACTTAAAAATGGTTAAAATTATACATTTTATGCTTTGTGAATTTTACCACAATAAAAAAAAAAGAAGGGGATCAGAAAAAATCTGTTTCCAACCATGCCCACACAGGCTGCATCTGTGCAGTCACCTCTCTGCCCACCCCCACAGCCTCCCAACCACAAAACAGGCTCTGGCCTTGCCACCCGGCCAGCGGTCCAGGACTCTCCTCCCAAGTGGTGGTAATCATGGGACTAGTGACCTGTCCTCCCACAGGCCAGGCCTCCTCGAGCAACAGCATCCGAGTGGACCTCGGCTCGTGGCAGCTGTCATGGTGCCTGGGACAAGCAGATGTTCAATAACAACAGGCTGGAATCATGAATGAAGGGATGAGTACACACTAATTTAACCCAAAGCCAATGGATGCAGATCAACACATTGAGGGAGTGGCATTCTTCGTACACATGATACAAATTTCCACGTGGCCCAATCACCTGGGAAGGTGAGCCTCACTGAGTTAGAGCAGAAATACCGTAGTTATCAATCTCTCGTTTAAAATGCCTGTTTAAAAGTCCTTTTTTTAAAAAAACACCCATATGTCCACTGCATGGCGGTCAACATTAAGCCTCACCTTTGTCAATCAGGCATACTTCCTCAACCGTTCTGAAGACACTAACGATCTGACTGTGAATGGGAAAACATACCAAGGGGCACCTGAAAGGGAGGGAACAGGGTGGAAAAGGGGAAAACAAGCACTCCGAAATCCTGTCTCAGAAGATCCGTCTTCCCGGAGCTGTGCCTCCCGTTAACTCAGTAAGAATACCTGTCAGAGATATCCTGCTACACCATTTGGCTGATGTCAAACCTAAATAAACCAGATCAGAAAACCAGCAAGTGGCAGGAGAGAAATGAATGGGCCCGGAGCGGTCTCACTCTAACTCGCATGGTTTGCTTGCTGATTTTTGGGGGGGGGGGGGGGGGCGGTCGTGGCAATCACTACAGTCATTTGCAGTACTAATGTCCAATTCAGCCTCCTTTCATTCTCCTGATTTAGGTGGTCAGAGTGGTTTCGTAGCCGACACGGGGAAGCTGTGCTGTTTAGCAGGCTGCTTAATGGGAAACTGGCAGTCTTATTTCTTTTCTAGATTTGGTTTGTCACTAGGTCTCCATTACATGCCACTCAGCTTTGATGTCTTTGGACAGGACTGATCAAAAGATGTCATTTGACCTACACAGCATGGCAGAAACTTGGAGAAGTCTCATAAAGCGACACTCTGGCTGTAAATAAAATGACATTATTATTTCCTCTCTCCTATCATGTAGAAAAGCCAATTATGGTAATGCACTGCATGTCAATGAAAATACAGCAATCTTTCTGGAGCAGCGACTGCAGGCATCAGTATTGCAACTCTCCTTCCTGGGAAAATTTGCCCACTGGAAAATGAAGAGGAAGGAGGTGAGAGATGTCCTAAAGATGGTTAATAAAACCCCGGACAGCCAAGAAAAGTGCAAGTCAGCAAAACAATTGGAAGTGCAAAATGCAAACTGTTAAGTTTCCAAATTATCTAATAATTTAATCTTCAATGATTTATACGCCAGCACCGAAATGGCCAGTATCATGTCGTGCATTTCTTAGCGTTTGACTGACAGGAGAGGCGATTTATGGCACTAATAAACCCCTTCATAGCCACTGCTTCTTAAGGAAGCTGACTCTGGAGTGGAGGGGGGTCCTAACCTTGTCCCTGAGATTCATTTAGAAGTTACAGTCGTAAGGGGCAGTCCCGCCTGCCCTGTGCCTATCAGACAAGGTAGGATGTCGGGCAGGAGATCGTGCTGTTACTGTTTTAGAATGCCCAATTTTATGCATTTCCACACGTGGAAAATGTTCCCCATCTTTCTTGTACTCAAGCCTGCGTCAGATCTGAACATGCATACGAAGCCCTTCCCCTCTTACGAAGTGAGTGCCCATTTGAAACACTTCTCACACCCAGCTTCATCTCGGTTACAGGGCCACCATTTACGAGAGCAGGCCAATCCCTCCAGTTAGAGGAAGAACTGTGCTCCTCCTCACCCCTAAGCCACACACTCAGAGCCCACTGCCTGCTATGTGCTGCGGGACCCAGGAGAGAAGCCCTGTCATTGTTTGTGTTCTGGAAGCAAGGAGCAACCTTCCTGCTCCTCGACGCCCCTCTCTGCTTCTCCCTCCACGCTAAGCCTCCAAAGAAACCTTGCCATTAAGTCTGGCTTAGTGTGGCAGCTTCACCCCAACAGCGTGCACGTGAAATGGACTCTCCCTGTTCTCCCATCATCCCATGTGTCCAAACTGCAGCATGATCCTGTGTTTTCTGTTGGCATCATTTATTTGAATCGGGAGAAGGCAGCCTTAGACCAGCCTGTGCAGGATGACGGGGAGAGAGGCAACATAAAATGAGGTTTCCTCCCAGGGGACACATTTTAATATTTCTGTAATTCTGGTGTATCTTCATTTTAAGAAACAATAGAGCCATGCAATTAGTGTCCATTGAAATCAAGGAAAAAAAGCAATCTTCGGAGCTACTAAATCCATAACAGAAATAAAAATTTTGGCTATGTCAGAAAATTTTTTAAATGCTCTAATTGTCTGAGTCAAAAAAAAAATTAATTATGACAAGTAATTTCTAAGCACACACTGCAACCACATCTTTTTCCCCTGCAATTTAATTTTGGTGCATAATACAGTGTAGATTAAATTTAGAAGCTTCATCAAATTTTAGTAACTTTAAATAATACTCTTTATGTCAATCTAGGGGCTTAACAGGATGTGACATTCGTAAGGCTCCACATGGCAAGGACATACTCGCAGCAAGGCCCCTCCCAGACTCTGTGCACGACTCCCACAGGTGGCCTACCGGGGCCCCCACTGTCCTTCTGGACTCAAGCACCATCGGTTGCAGTTTGCAGGTGGGAGCTGAAAGAAAATTTAAGCTATTCAATTTTAGTCCGACTTTTTGGCTTTCAAAGGACATCCTTATGTTTCAACAGAATACAAGCCTGAGACTTGTTTTTCCTGTCACTCTGGAGTGCTTCCAGAGGACTGCACTAATTACTATTACTTCTACATACAAGTTAGACTTCTGTTCACTAAAACTCCAGTCAAGGTTAGTAAACAGCTCAACTCCACACAAGGCGGCCTCCTTATTACACAGCGCCCTGTGTTTATTTTCACATGAACAAATGAAAGGGGACTCTGAATTCTTATTGTCGCGTGGAGGCCCAGTACTGTCTCTGATCTATAAGTCAATCTATTGCTTTTTAACTCCTGAGGGCTCCTTCAGAGAGCTACTGTCTGATCTACACTATTCTTACTTGGAAAGACAATTCTAGAACAGATGAGTGAGTTGAGGCCCCACCACAGGGCTGCACGTTTGCGGTCTGTCCCACGTCTCCTAATGCACTGGGCATGCATCTTGGCCCAACGCTCTGTCACCCTCCCAGGAACGCCTTCTGCGATAGGCAGCATCAATTACCCACTGGGGGGGGCTCTGCAGTGTGAGTTCAGGACCCCATAAAATGTGTGTAGCACAGGGCTCTGCACAGGGATGAAACACCAGTATCGCTTGCTTTAATTAAGAGTTTCCTCCAGATCTCATTTAACCTCAAGCTGGAAGACTCAGTTCCTTCAAGAGTACACTTTTTAAAACCAAAAATGATTCCTAAAGCACATAAGAAAAAAACGATCTATTGTTAAGCGGCCTAGCAAAACATATTTCAGTAAATATAAGGACATCATTGCCTTTTAGGTGGGAATTCGCGGGCTTTGTTTAGAGGGAAAAAAATACTAAATTCATCATCAGATAAGAATTTCAAAGCGTTTCTACACGTCTAAGTTTTGAAGGGGCCTCATCTGGAGGGTGAGGAGGGGTGAGACGGGGGGCCGCAGATTTATCCACTGGATATTTCATTCCCTACCCCAATATTAAATTTTATGTGGGGAATCTAGGAGTTTAAAAGCTTCACATTTTTGTGTAATAAAAAAGAAATACAATATCCTGTTGCTATGCGTAGTGACACTTTATGCAGGAAAGAAAACCATTCTCCTTAGCTATTCTTTGAAATACGACCTACGACGTCATTTAATTTTTGAAAACCCTAAGGTCATGTAACACACTTTCTCTGTCATTTGTAAGTACATTAACTCAGTGGCCATACGACAGTGAAATTATGATAATGGGCTGCTAAAATGGGTCAGGCAGGCACTGCATTTCATGTTAGCTTCAAACAACCATCACAGCCCAGCTCAAATCAAATATGACAGCAGAAAAGCACCGAGTTTACTTTTCTGAAAGTGTTTCTACTTAGTCAAGTACACATGCATCACAAACCAAAGGGATCCCACCTCGGTGGTGAAATGCAAGAAAATAATCCCCATTTCTCTTTTCAAAAAATTCTGCCCTTATATCACCGATTTTGTGTCAAGAGGGAATGCAGAGGTCAAAGCAGGCTCCTTTCCAGAACATTTCTCCACCTTGGTCCCAAACTGGGGCGAGCGGGATCACATCCTGCATGGAGAATTGCCCCACTAAATTAAAAATATTTTACAACAGAAGCACATTTAATGTACTCATGTAAACAAATAAACCTCTTTTAGTAACACTTCTCACGTGCTGAACTCTTCCAAAAGATAGGAGAACAAAAGAAGAAATAGGAAATAGACATTTCTTTTGCTGTGTATGGCATATCTTTGAAGCGTAATTGAGCAAAAGATGCCTAAAGAGTTTGCCACTCAATTTCAAAAAAAACAGGAAAATTGACCCGTGACTCAAGTTTAAGAAGGAAAGGTTTTAAAAGACATTTAAGTATGCGTGTCCTAATGAGCTCATCCTGATTTATTTCTAAGATCCAGCATCTACACGGTTCCCCACCTTAGCAATG